ATTTGGATTGAATTAAACGAAAAAGCTAATAATATTATAATAGGAGTAATATATAGGCCACCAAATTTAGACAGAATGGAAGCAAAGCATCTATGGGATGAAATATCTAGAGCATCTAGATCTAACAGTATTTATGTCATGGGTGACTTTAATTTTAGCGGAATAAACTGGTTGAACAAAACAGGGAATAGTGAAGCAGAAGATTTTCTAGAATTAATTGACGATTGCTTTCTTACGCAACACATTAAGGAACCAACACGGGAAAATAATATTTTAGATTTAGTGTTAACTAACAGGGAAACGCAAATTAATGACATCGAAATAGGGAGTGAGCTAGGGAGCAGTGATCACAAAGAAATCAGATTTAGCATAGAATGGAATAGACCAGTAGGAGAAAATTCTGTTAAAGTGCCAGATTTTCGAAAAGCTGATTTTAATAGCCTAAGAAATTTTTTGGGTCAAATTGATTGGAAAGTCTTGGGTATGGGGTGTGGGCCGGTCTTGGAGCGAGACATGAACCCAGCGATAGGTGACTTAAATGGGGATTTCGATGTGGATTCAATATATAACTTATTTAAGAATATTCTAAACAAAGCACAGGAACGTAGTATACCATACAAATTGAATAGATCGAATACTAATGACCCAAAGTGGATAACAAAGAATTTGAAGAACCTTATAGGTAAAAAGAGAGCTTGGTACAAAAGGATTAAAAATGGGGAGGTCACTTTAGAACAGGAATTCGTACAACTGGTTAGAAATGTTAAAAAAGAGATAAGGAAAGCAAAAAGAAACTATGAAGTTCGCATAGCAGGGCAAGCAAAGACAAATCCTAAAGGGTTTTTTCAGTTATATCGTACTAAGACTAGGGAAAGGATAGGTCCATTAAAAACTGAGACAGGTCAAATAACAGATAGTGATGAAGAGATGAGTAGTATTTTTAATAAATATTTTGTATCTGTATTTACTAAAGAGGAACTTAACAATATGCCTTCAGCCGAACAAGTCTATGTGGGTGGGGACGAGGACAGGTTGACGAGTTTAGCAGTTACCAGGGAGGATGTTCTTAAACAAATAGTAAAACTCAAACCAAACAAATCCCCAGGGCCGGATGAAGTGTTTGCCAGGGTGCTTAAAGAATGCAAAGAGGAGCTTTGTGACCCACTGTCAACCATATTTAATAAATCAATAGAGTCAGGCAGAGTGCCAGAGTTTTGGAAAGTTGCTAATGTGATACCAGTTTTTAAGAAAGGAGATAGATCACTTGCGTCTAACTATCGACCAATTAGCCTAACGTCTATTGTGGGAAAGTTACTCGAATCTATAATAGCAAATAAAATTCGTCTTCATCTTGAAAAACATAAATTAATAATTGAGTCGCAACATGGTTTTATAAATGGCCGTTCATGTTTAACAAATTTGTTATCTTTTTATTCTAGCATTGTTGAGGCAGTTGATAGTGGTAAGGATTGCGATGTTGTATACCTTGACTTTAGCAAAGCTTTTGATACAGTGCCACATGAAAGACTGATTAAAAAGATAGTCTCATGGTATTGGGGGTGCTATATTAAGCTGGATTAGGGCATGGCTATACCAAAGGAAACAGAGAGTTAGTATAAATGGAATCAAGTCAGAGTGGGAAAATGTTGTAAGTGGAGTGCCTCAAGGCTCTGTCCTGGGACCTCTGTTGTTTATAATATATATAAATGATTTAGATTCAGGTTTGAGTAGCAACATTTGCAAATTTGCCGATGATACGAAAATCGGTAGGGAAATTAATTCGGAGGAGGACTCACTATCACTTCAAGTTGATCTAGATAGGGTTTTGAAATGGTCAAAGGATTGGCAGATGCAGTTTAATGCTGATAAATGTAAAGTTCTGAGGTTAGGTAATGATGATAGAGTTACAAGATACGAGCTAGATGGTGTTGTGATTGCGAAGTCGGATTGCGAAAGGGATCTGGGAGTTATGATTAGTAAGAATTTAAAACAAAAGGATCAATGCATAAATGTTCGTAATAAGGCAAATCGGACACTTGGATTTATTAATCGCAGCGTTAGTAACAAGACACCTGGTGTGGTTCTCAAGCTATATCTTGCTCTAGTTAGGCCCCATTTAGATTATGCAGTTCAGTTTTGGTCGCCATATTATAGAATGGATATAAATTCACTTGAACGTGTCCAGCGTAGGATGACTAAGTTAATTCCCCAAATTAGAAATCTTTCATATGAAGAAAGATTAACAAAGCTTAAGTTGCATTCACTGGAAAGGCGAAGAGTTAGGGGTGACATGATAGAGGTTTACAAGTGGATGAATGGACATAACCGGGGGGATATTAATAGGGTTTTAAAAGTATCAACACAGGACAGAACACGAAACAATGGGTATAAATTGGATAAGTTTAGATTTAGGAAAGACTTGGGTAAATACTGGTTCAGTAACAGGGTTGTTGATTTGTGGAACCAATTGCCGCGTAACATTGTGGAGGTGGGGTCCCTCGATTGTTTCAAGCACGGGTTGGACAAGTATATGAGTGGGATTGGGTGGTTATAGAATAGGAGCTGCCTCGTATGGGCCAATAGGCCTTCTGCAGTTACCTTTGTTCTTATGTTCTTATGTTCTTATGTTAAATACTGTTTCAGTAACAGGGTTGTTTTGTGGAACCAATTACCGCGTAACGTGGTGGAGGTGGGGTCCCTCGATTGTTTCAAGCGCTGGTTGGACATGGTTTATGAGTGGGATTGGGTGGTTATAAATAGGAGCTGCTTCGTATGGGCCAATAGGCCTTCTGCAGTTGCCTTTGTTCTTATGTTCTTACGTTATGTATGGGCCAATAGGCCTTCTGCAGTTGCCTTTGTTCTTATGTATGGGCCAATAGACCTTCTGCAGTTACCTTTGTTCTTATATTCTTATATTCTAATATCAAACGAGCAAGACAGGCGCCAGGCATGGCCTGGGGGAATTAAAAATCTTGGAACCCTCTCCAGTTATGCTCCAGGTATACCGACTTGCTAGAATCAGAGGTTACACTTTCCCCTTGACGATTTAAAGCCAGGCTTATTTTTTATTACATTGCTTTATCATTGTATTCATTGAGTTGTATTGTCTGCTTTTACATGGATTTTTATGGTCTTGAAAAACAGAAACCTCTTGTTCAGGAAGCTGTGGTCTGGACCCTGATGTTGGAGCATGTGTAGATGCTCAGCTGGGAGTGGGGGGGGCGGGGGAATTATTGGGGGAAGAGCTCAAAGCCATTACGACTTTATATCACTTGGAAAGGGTCAGGATACAGATTTGGGGTGTGTGGGTGGTGGGGGGGGGGGGGTATGGTCTCCAACTACTTGGAGGGTTGGGGATTGAACTCCGATCTGCATGAGGCAAGACTGACTCTACCGTCCCGGCCAAGTGAAAGGGGGGGGGGGGGAGTCGCAGATCATTTACTATAGTTTAAAGCTGATAAGCTTTATACTGTACTTGTCAGACGTATTGCATAATAAAGTCTGTAGCCTGGTTGGCACATGGGTGATTACTTAATTAAATAATCTGGGCACATGCTGCACTTGCGTGCGTGTCAAGAGAACTGTAATAATGTAGAGAGGGACTCCACATAGTTCAGTATACACAAAATAGGGGTATTAGGGGGCCTGGTAGCCTGGTGGATAACATGCAGGATTCTTAATTCCGTGGCGTGGGTTCGATTCCCGCACCAGGCAGAAACAAATGGGCAAAGTTTCTTTCAACCTGAATGCCTCCTGTTACCTAGCAGTAAATAGGTACCTGGGAGTTAGTCAGCTGTCACGGGCTGCTTCCTGGGGGGGGGGGTGTGTGTGTGTGTACGTACTCACCTAGTTGTGATTGCGGGGGTTGAGCTCTGGCTCTTTGGTTCCGCCTCTCAACAGGTGTACAGGTTCCTGAGCCTATTGGGCTCCATCATATCTACACTTGAAACTGTGTATGGAGTCAGCCTCCACCACATCACTTCCTAATGCATTCCATTTGTCAACCACTCTGACACTAAAAAAGTTCTTTCTAATATCTCTGTGGTTCATTTGGGCGCTCAGTTTCCACCTGTGTCCCCTTGTGCGTGTGCCCCTTGTGTTAAATAGCCTGTCTTTACCCTATCAATTCCCTTGAGAATCTTGAATGTGGTGATCATGTTCCCCCTAACTCTTCTGCCTTCCAGCGAAGTGAGGTTTAATTCCCGTAGTCTCTCCTCGTAGCTCATACCTCTCAGCTCGGGTACTAGTCTGGTGGCAAATCTTTGAACCTTTTCCAGTTTAGTCTTATCCTTGACTAGATATGGACTCCATGCTGGGGCTGCATACTCCAGGATTGGCCTGACATATGTGGTATACAAAGTCCTGAATGATTCTCTACACAAATTTCTGAATGCCGTTCGTATGTTGGCCAGCCTGGCATATGCCGCTGATGTTATCCTCTTGATATGTGCTGCAGGAGACAGGTCTGGCGTGATATCAACTCCCAAGTCTTTTTCTTTCTCTGACTCCTGAAGAATTCATCATGTTTGTGTGTGTTGGGGAAAAAAATAGTTGGTAAACACTCGATTGACAGTTGAGAGGTGGGCCAAAAGAGCAAAGCTCAACCCCTGCAAACACAACTAGGTGAATACACATGTCACATGTAAACCTAATGGATGCCCTTTCACACTGTCGACTGAACAACCATCACCTCCCTTGTTCAAAAGTCAGTTACTATACAGAGGAGGCAGTTTTATCAAGCTTTGCTGTAAACTAGGGAAGGTTTAAAATGTCACTTTTTGAAATGCAGTGATGAACAGATTTTGATAACATAATTTGTCAATGTTTATTAATTTTACGGATTAAATAGGACTGTTTTAGTATTCATATTTAATATGTAAGATGACTTAAATGTGTGTTCAAGGTACATGAAAGTTTTATAAAGTTACAACTCTTTGCAGTACTGTACCTGAAAAATGTTTTGCCTCGTATAGGTTATTAATGTGATGTTATGTTTGCAGCTGAAGAAGTGAGCTACGATGCTGTCACTCCCGACAGTGGCGTCCATGATACCTTCAATGCCCTCTCTCCTGAAGAGCAGGAAAAGCAGAGAGAAGAATGGAAGTCAGAGCTCACTAAGGTAACCACAACTCTTGCGTTATCTTGTAAGATCTTTGATGTATTATGATTTGATGTTTATGCACCTTTATTTCTTTCCTTAGCAAAGTGAGCCAGTGGGTTACTGGCGATCCAGTAAATGCTGCTTTTTACTTTGTCGTCTAAGTAATACAGAATCACACATGTTCTGTACTATAGTTTTATTCATTTTCATTAATTGATTTCCATCTTTCTTGAGGGAAGAATTGTAATTAAAGCATTAACCTTTTGGCAGCCTGTCCCTATGGGCCAAAAAAAAAATAAAATTTCACAAGCTTACAAAATTCATACTACAGTATGTAGTATTACACAATGCAGTATTGTAATAGAAAATTTTGCTTTAAATGTAGCCTGTTGGCTCAAGATTACATTTTGAGATTTTACATGTATTGTTTCTAAAAGGAAGTAGAGCAGATTTAGACTATGAAATTATTAAATGTGGTCAACATGCTGACAAGCCGTTAGTACCTTTTTTTTTGGGGGTGGGGGGGGCATTTTTTTTGGATATTAATGTGTGCTTTTACTTTTATAGCTCATGATCAGAGTATGTAGTTTCAGAGATAGGAATGTAATGTATCCGATTATTTTATTAAAGGGTTAACCAATAAAAATGGTTCCTTCTCAAGTATGATAATTACAAATTTCACCTGGTGCAGGACAGGTGCTCATACAATATTATGAATATATCAGCTTGGTCAGTGTAAATATATTGGTTTTTAATTGCTCGATTTGGTTCATTAACAGTGAAGAAAATTGATCACGTCTTAAATATGGTGTACATTTCTGTAATGCCAATTTAATAATTTTTTTCTGGCAGACTGAAGAGGAAATCCAGACCCTTCGACAGGTGCTGGGTTCTAAAGTAAAACATGCACAGGATCTCAAGCGTAGGCTTGGAATTACTGTGTGGCGCGAGTTTACCGAGGACTTCAATAATTCGATGAAGACCGTCCGCGAATCTCAAACGTAAGTTCGGTATTGTGTGTAAATTACCACTAATGCCAGTTTTGGACATTCCTCTGGAGTATAATAAGTATTTTGTGCCTCGAGGAATTGTACCGTAAAAGTGATTTTCAATGTGTTATTAATGTTTCATAATAAGGTAGGGGTTTGTAATCCCCAGGGGCTTGACTGTGTTGTAGGATTAATGGGGGCTTGTTTATATGCTATACAATGTACTGTAAATTAGTACACAATGTTTATTATTCCTAATATTTCTAGTGTGCTTTATTTTATTCCAAGTTGAGTAATTGTTAGTGACTAAGATTAAATTGTTCATGATAGGAAACTTAAGTTATCTATTTTGTATTTGCTATCTAAAACCAAATACACGAATATTAATGTCTTGTTTCCTGTGGGGTTATGTTGGGTACCCATGCTTTAGTGGGTGTAATTATGTAGAATTTATGGTATTCATTTCCAATGTCTCATAGTGGCTAATGAAGGGGAATTTGAAGTTTTTGTGCTTTAGGTTTGGTTGGTTTGACTGTGATTAGTGTAATAGTATATGGTGAATTTTGCTAAACTGATAAAGTGGATATGAATGATTAGTAATCTGACATTAGGTCATAAGCATAAAGTATTCCTCCTCGGCACAGTGACTCAATTGGAGGAAAGTCGGGTATCAACCAGGTCATTCCTTGGCAGTCCTTTGGAGTCTGTTGCAAGCAAGTCGTTGGCCTGTTACAACTGGGAGTTGTGTACAGGCCTCCAGGCATCTCGGAGGATGGATGCCCCATCACAATTCTTCTACCACTGTAAGATACAGTATTCCCCTCTACAAAGAGTGGAACAGTGTCTTCCTCTTAAAAGAAAGTTTTGCAGGGGCCCTTAAAATGTTCTCAAATTCAGACTTTTCAATATCAAGTGTGTGTGTTATGAATTAGTGCAAACTGGTAGGAGCTCCAGGTTTTAGATAAATATTCTAAAGTTCAAATGAACCTTTAGGGGTTACTCCGTCCTCTCTGAAAAGGTCTGAGGAGGAATACTATGACGAGTCTCTTCCTCCAGGCATTTTAAATTTCCATGGAGAATGGATGGAATTGTTTACTTGCTCTCTCATTCCTTATAAATTTTCAACCTGAATGGACCCTTTGGGGAAGAGGGGCAGATACTCTGTCCAACCCACGAAGACCACCTTGCTGCCTTTGTAGAGAATATTCGCTTGTACATTCCTTTTTAATTGGTAGTGTATCAATTTACTACTATGTTTAAAGTGAGGGGGGGGGGGGGTGTGGGATAGGGTCCTCAGTTATCAGCCTGTCTGGTGTACTGGATTTGACTTATGGGGTTTGCTAGTTTCGATGGTTCTGACCATTTTAGTGTCATGCCATAGGTGGTCCAGCTGCACTATGCAACTCTCGATAGTTCCTTGATACAACCAATTGGCCTTGCTTTTCCAAGTGACCAGGTTGCCTCAGGAAGTCTGATATTTTATCTTTAGATGAGATGATGATGTAGCGTGTTTTGTTTCTAAGCTACAATATATTGACCTGGGTTAGTTCCAGTACTCTGAATGGCAGTTACTTATGAGAGATCAGGTTCTTTGGTGGAATGACTGCTTTTCTGCAGCTTGCTGTGTACTTTGAACAGCCCATCTTGGCTCAAAGTTCATCACAGTGAGCAATTTAAACTGTAAAATCATTAATGGCCAGTGCTCATTATTGCTGGGGTAATGGACAAAATTACCAGTCCATTTCATCTTGTTTGTATTCGTGATTAATACATCCACACAAATGTATGTAAGATGTGAAAGTTGTACATAACAAAAAAAATTTAAAATTGGTTATGTATGACCCTTGTTCTTCTTCAACCCCTGGACTGCTCAAGCATTTCAGGAGGTGCAGTGTTTGGTGCTGATAATTTTGTACGGGGCCAATAAAAGAAGGCAAAATTAAACACCTTTTGTTGACCAGACCACACACTAGAAGGTGAAGGGATGACGACGTTTCGGTCCGTCCTGGACCATTCTCAAGTCGATGTACCATTCAGCCTGGACCATTCTCGACTTGAGAATGGTCCAGGACGGAGCGAAACGTCGTCGTCTCTTCATATTTCAATAATGCAGAATGTGAATTTTTAAGGGGCTCAATGGTTCATATATTTTACATTATGTCCAAAGTAGCTATGCAAGGATCTTTTTGGGGTGGGGGGGGGGGGGGGGGGTTGCATTTTTGTATGTACAGTATTGCAAGGCCTTAAATCTAATTACAAATTATCATGTTACTCAGGCCTTCAATTTAGTCTTCTTTGCTTCACCTGCCAGATTTCAGACAGTCTAAGGTTATTAGAATTATAGATGTGACCTGGATAGTTTGCCTTTCTCAACTAGGATGTTATTACAATTTAGACATTTGCATTCCTAGTACTGTACTAACCCAGATGTGAAGCATAGTTAATTGTGCCTTAGCAAATATCTTGGTATAGTTGAAGTACTTGCCATGGTGTCTCACAAGGGGGTTTGTCTGGCATTGCCAGGTTTCTCAGGGCAAGTGCCATCATTATGAAATCCAATGAGTAGTTTGGCACAGTTCTACTGATTAGTGTTCAGGTTAATTACTGATAGTTATGTATTTGTAATTTTTACTTTTAACAGTTCCCCCATTGATTTAATATTCACTAGGTGGTGCACAACTTATTTTTTTTATTTATACATAGCCTCACATTTTATTTGGCTTCCCCGACCTCCCCCCCCAAAAATTAATGTCTATTCCAGTATTTGTTTTATTTAAGTAACACTTATTTTCTCTCCTTTTAGCACTCAATATGTCCAAAGTTTACCTGTGTAAGTATGTTGCTTTATAGAGTTTTAGGTTTTTCATCCAAGGAATGCACTGTAGGTGGCCGAGCCTTAGGAATGACCTCTTTATTGCTCCTTTGCTTGCTGTAGTCTTGTAGGAAAATGTCTGCCTGTACTTGGGGAAGTGCATCTGGTTACTTTCCCAAATGTTTCCACTACTCTTTACCCAAAGGTTCCCCCTTGTCTCGACTTTCTTATTACACATTCCAGATATTTTAAGTTAAGACCAAAGGATTTTTGACCCAGTAAAAGCGTCAAGTTAAAACAGTAAAGTTTAAATGGTGGTGTTTTCAATGGAATGGAAACTTTGGTAATTATTAAGTCACTGCTTTGGTACTGTGAAGTAGTTGAACTTGATGTGGGTGAAGCATTGGGTCTGCTTTTTTCCAGTATTGCTTTTATGTTACACTATTTGATTTAATTAGTTGTGTTTTATTGCATTTAATAAGAGCCAATATTGTGTTTTAAGTTGCAGCACCTGCAGTTGTAAATAAAAACTTAAAATACTATAAACTGAACCTTCACAATGCTCGGCAAAAATACTGTAAACTGAACCTTCATATAGCTCGGTCATGTCATTCTGGACCATGTCCCGATTTGAATCCTATTTTCTAAATCCCCCCCTTATTTTTATCGCCTAAATTCACCTAGACCAATTGTGTAAAGTTTCAGAATTGTTATGCATTCAACAATTTACATAGTTTCTTCCCTTAAATTTGTAGGAGAAACTTGGATAATTTGGCATACGCTGGTTTTGATAAGAGGCAGAAAAATTATAGTACCATGCCATGTCATCTAATAAACGTCAACTGTCGCCTTAACACTTTCAACCCACCGGTGACAAAGGATGGAGTAAAAAATAACAAAAAAAATTGGCCTGCTTTTGCCATGGTTTTGGACATTATATGCATATACCCCTTGAAGGGAATTTCATTGGGAATCCATTGATACCAAAATGAAAGACCTAGGACCAAAATGGAGGTAACAAAGTTGAAACGCACAAACCCATTTTATTGCTCTTTATTAGCACTCGCTGGGGTTATGTGCAGTCACTTTGGCTGCTGCGGATGGTACGCCGGGCTTTTGGACTTTACATGTATTTAATCGTGTAGGGAATTCTACTGCGAATACAGTACCAGGATGAAAGACCTAGGCCGAGAATTGATGTCCAATGTGAAGAGTACACATTTTATTGCTCTTTAGCGCTCCCGGGTAACTTGCTCTCACTTTCTTGCCGTTCTTTTGGGCTTTATATGCACATACACCTGTAGGGAATTTCATTGCAAATCCATTGATACCAAAATGAAAGACCTAGGACCAAAATTGAAGTAACAAAGTTGAAAAGAGCAAACCCATTTTATTGCTCTATTAGCGCTCATTGGGGTAACGCGCTGTCACTTTCTCTGTTTGCTGTGGGTGGTACGCCGTGCTTTCGGACTTCATTTGCATTTAATAGTGTGGAGAATTCTATTGCGAACACATTGATTTCAAATTGGAAAACCTAGGATGAGAAATAAGGTGACAGTTGAAAAGAGTCTACACGTTTCAGTATTACCGCGAGCTCCCACGCAACGTCCAAAACCACTAGGGTAGGAGAAATGCTCGCTCGCCCAAAGCGTCAGTGTTAAACTGGACTTTGAGGGTTTCCAGAGCCCATGGTTAATGCCATTCTTTCAGCCACAGACTGTGCATCAACAACACTCGGCATCAAGCTAGAATGATGGATAAATCATTGTTGTTGTAGGGGGGGGGGGTTAGGGGTGGCTACAGTGCTGGGCCGTATGTAACCGTCAATCCAAGCGTAGCTGGAGGGTCTCGAGGAAAACCATTGATGTCCTGCACCATCCAAATCTACATTCATAGTTGTAAAATTACCAGTTCATTCTCGTTTTCAACCTGAACTCTCCTCTTGTGATAAAATACTTACTTACAGTATTTAAATAAGCATTCAGCAATTTGTTTTGAGTAATATCCAAATCTGGTTAATTGTTTGTTTATTGGCTCTTGTTTTATGTAATATGCTAGATTTTGTAAACCTGCAATTTTAGTGCACTTTTCTTTTCTGTTGGCTTTTGTTGGGTGTTGTATGGTCCTGCCGGGATGTTGTGGTGTCCAGGGTGCAGAAAGCTAACGAAGTCATCACAGACATACAAGAGGCCGTCTCCTCCGCGCCACTGTGAGTACCCTTCACTTGGTTTGACTGTTAATTATACATGTCCATTTGATACCTAATTGTTGTAATTTTTGTTGTTGTAATCTGTGGATATTTACCGTTTTGGCATTTTCACTTGCATGAATTGAGCATGCCTTCACTTGGTACTTGTATAGTATTTTGAAAGTTACTGTAGCAGATTTGTAGTTTGTGCTTTAAAGTAGTATACTACAATACCTTGTGTACTGTATTTGTACCTTCTCCCTTTTATAATATCAAATGTTGTGTGAGAACTAATGGAAATAACCAATTTATAAGGATGGGTGTCCAACATAAAGAATTTAACCATTGTAACACTTGGGTGATGACCAGACCACACACTAGAAGGTGAAGGGATGACGACGTTTTGTCCGTCCTGGACCATTCTCAAGTCGATTCTCAAATGACTTGAGAATGGTCCAGGACGGACCGAAACGTCGTCGTCCCTTCACCTTCTAGTATGTGGTCTGGTCATCATACTTTAGCCGTGTTATTGTGACTCATCGCCTGCATAATACTTGGGTATTTTGTAATGCAACACTAGTTTATTTTTCTCTTCGGCCAATGTAAAGTTTATTGGGTTTTAAATGTGTTATCTTGAGCAAAGATTTTTTTTGAGTTCAACAATTTACAAAAGTGCAAAATTGTGTAGATTGGATCTTTGGATACTGCACATTTTAGATTAAGAGTAATGTTGGGTACTTTCAACAAGTTTTACATGTATAGCGAGTTCATTTCTCGGATCTATCGAGAGATATTGAGAGCGTGCGCCATCCATCCCACGTTGAGCTCTCGTCAGCCCTCCCAAACTCCCCCAACCATTACATACGCCTTTGATGGAGAGATAAAGACCATAAGGTGTTAAAAGTTTACAGAACGAGGAAATTTTGTGGTTTCCAATGTGTTCAGTTTTCCTCATTGTAGCATTAGCAAAATTAAATCAATGTTATTGTGGTGTTTCAAGATCGAAATAGATAGAATCAACCAAGGGGAGGGGGAGGGAATTGGGTTATCTTGAAATGATCTTGATTTTTGGGGCTTAGTGTCCCTGCAGCTTGGTCCTTGACCAGGCCTACATTATTGTTTTTTTCCCCCCCCTCCCCCAGGAAGCAGCTCGTAGCAGCTGTCTAACTCTCGGGTACCTATTTACTGTTGGGTGAACAGGGGCATCAAGGTGAAAGTAACTTCGCTCATTTGTTTCCGCCTCCACCGGGGAGTCAAACCCGGAACCTCAGGACTACGAATCCGAAGCGCTGTCAACTCGGCTGTCAGGCTCCCAGCCCGTCCTCCAAAGACCCAAAAGGGGTTCCATGCATCCGCCAAACCCCCCCGTTTATGAATGGAAAAATGTTTACACACGACTCGTAACTGCTGACATTAGAACGCTTCCGGAACAAGTGCTTCACCGAGAAATTTTGTTAGAGCTACAACGCTGTAAATGCTTCACTCACGTACCACAAATACAAATGATCGCCAACAAAACCTAAACACCTAACCTAATCTATGCCTATATATGTACAATATGCTAATGTATTATAATAATTTATATTTGAGAAAATTCCCGTTTTAAGTGAACAGCATGTAAAAATTTATGAATGCGTCTGTGGGGTCGACTGCTGGATGTAATCGACTTGAGTCAAGGACGAGTTGCAGGCTCCCTGGGGCAAGAAATTACCAGACAATAGTAAATTCCTTCTTTTGTCAGTGTAATGAGCTGTTATCAAAAAGTGCCTCCCTTTTGCTGCTGTCTGACAGGCAAATACTTGAGTAATCCTTCACATCCCTGACAAAAAGAGCTTTAAACCAGACTTGAAATGTTTTCGTGCTCTCCGTTCCAGGAAATGGATCGATTCTCTTAAATATCTATAGATTTAGGCCCTTTCAATAACCCTATTTGCTTTAGTGAAAATAATATCCCACTATTTTGAATACAAAAGTAAATGTAGACAGTATATTTCGATCCGAACCCGGGATCAACTTCAGCAGCGAGTGAGAATGACAGTTGTAGGTGCTTTTATGATGTAAAGTCAGGAGTCCTACAAAGAGGTGTAAGCCACAAGTAATATCCTAATTACACCCATTCACTGGACACCCGAGTTAATGCCATAAAAGCACCTACAGCTGTCCGTCATTTACACTGCTGAAGATGATCCTGGGTTGGGATAAAAATATATGGTCTATGTTTACTTGTATCTTCAAAATATATAGTGGGTCATTATTTTCATTGATTAGTGCGCTAATGCACTTGTCTTTTTATTTTTAATTATTTTATTGATTTTTTATTTATATTCAAGTAGGTACATTAGTCCTACTGTTAAGTGTGGGATTCATATTTAAAGCCAGTTTAGCCTTTTGTTGGGAGGAATTTGAATAGTCCCCCAGACTAATCAGCCTTATTGTAAACCTTAATGAATGAAATCACAATGTGATATGAGAATCTTTGCAGCAGGACAGCAAAATCAAACCAGCATCTTCTCTTATCCCAGATGTGCACTTTAACCCGTGGATCACTAAAAAGTTACAACCTCGAATCTGCCTGAACCCGCATTTTCTTGCACTAAATGAGTGAGCATGTATGCTCACATAATTTGATGGATTTGCTTCATGTGAAGTAAATGGAGATGTATGCCAAATTTTGCGAAATATACGACGAAGGCTCAGTCATTCATACCAAAACAGGGATGCAGACCTAGGAAACGGGATTGATTAAATAGAAATTGTGAGAGGTCCAGACACATGCCACTAAGTGACTCCCAGAACTGAAGGACAAGAGCTACGAGGAGCGGTTAGAGGCATTACATATGCCAAAACTAGAAGATAGAAGAGGCAATATGATTGCTACGTACAAAATAGTAACAGGAATCTGTAAAATTGATAGGGAAGAATTCCCGAGACCTGGAAATTCAAGAAGGTCATAGATTTAATCTAAACAAAGCTGCATTAGAAATAAAAGAAAATTCACTTTTACAAATAGTGGTAGATGGTTGGAACAAGTTAAGTGAGAAGGTGGTGGAGGCCAAAACCGTCAGTAATTTCAAAGTGTTATGTCAGTGTGCTGGGAAGACGGGACACCATAAGCGTAGCTCTCCTTCTGTACTACACTTAAGTAATTACACACTAGTAGATTGGAGAAATGTTACTAGCGGATTACCACAGGGTTCAGTTCTAGCACCAGTAATGTTCATTGTATAAATAAACTACCTACCAGATGGAAAACAATTATACGAACATGTTTGTTGATGTCAAGCTACTAGGGAAGATAAGAAACTTGGAAAAGGTGTATGCCGTACAAAAAGACCTAGACAAAATAAATGTGGAGGAACACTTTTCAATTGGAGTTTAATGTAAAGTCACATTATGGAACATGGAATAACAAATAGGCTCCACAAAATCAATGCATTATGTGAAAAGTTTTAAAGAATTCAAATAGAGATCTAGGGCTGGTTCTGGATAGAAAACAGTCGCTTTTAAACAGAAAACAATTGCTTTTAAACACATGGATGGTGACACATTAAAGAAATTCATGACCTTTTATGGAACTAAAATTGAAATATGCAGTAGTTGTATGGTGCCTATGTTTCCTAGAGTAGCAAGTCAGTAGTAAATTGAAAAAGATGTGATGACTGGTAACTAAATGACTTCCGAAACGTAAAAAAAAAAAAAAGTGTTAATATACAAAAGTTAGACGATACAGGGTCATGATGGAAGCCGGCCTCGGGTGAAAGGGGGCTGTGACCATCTCCTTCTGGAACCCGTAGGTGCGGGGCTTGGACGTCCACCTCCTAGGGCTCGAGCTCTTGCACTCCAAGCTCTGCTTCAGGAGGCAATAGTTCCACTATTGCTTGCAGTAGCAGTGATTGAAGTGGTTGTAAGATGCATTCATTTTTCCTCCTATTACTGTATTGTCAAATTTTGTCAAATTTTCATGCTTTTTTTTCACAACTGTACTTCCCCCATCTTTGTCAATGCAAGTCAGTAGTGGAAGGTTTGGGAGTTCACCTTCCATTTTGCTATCTTGATCTTATGTATGTTTTTTTTTCATCATAGCAGGTAACCTAGTTGTGTGTTTTTCCCAATGGACTCTCTAGGCTTTCTTTGATACAACAGCCTCTTTTTACATTCTTTGCTCTCGGCTCTATGGTCTTATGATCTGCGCTATAGCACATTCTTACTCTAGTTGAACACTCCTTTCTCGTATTCTGAATGAGATAGTGTAGTTACAACTAGTTCATAGTCATGGTAATTACAGTAAAATGTGTGCCAAAGTGTTTGGATTTTTCTCTTCGTATCCACATCTCTCACTCATTGATAATCTTGCTTAGTTTTGAATGGGCACCATTAATTAAACCTTATTGAGGAGGATATTTTTGTAAAGGCCGTATGTTAGTGCAAGCAGTGGGTGTACCTAACGTACAATTCGAGTCGGGGAACATGAAGCCAAAGTGTATTCATACACGTCTGGCTTTTATCGAGGTCACCCCTCCCCCCGCCCTAGGGTCAAATTACTACCCCCCTTCCCCCCCCCCCCCCCAGGATTCAGCCCCCACAATAAGCTGACTAACTCCTGAGTATGTACTTGCTGCAATGTGAACAGCGGCATTACATGAAAGGAAATGTGCCCAACTATTTGTGTCTCGCCTGGCATTCGAACTTCGAGTTCTCGATTGTGCGTCGATAACAAACCCAACTGTACTACCGGGACCCTTTGGGCCCGGTAGTACGACCCTAACATGTTGTTGTGTTGGTGGTTAGTGTTGTACTTTAATACTAATAAATTTGGAAATTGTTGATGATTTTAGCTGTATTAACCATGGTATTCTTCATTAATGTAACTTCTTTATATTCATGTACTTGTTGTGTACTCGGTAACATGTTTGTAGCTGCAAAACATTATAATGCTTTAACATTGCAGAACAGTGTCAGGAACACAAACATTTTGTATTTTTCCATTAACAGTTTCTTTTCCATTAACAGTTTCATTTAGATAAAATGTGTTAAAATATCCACACTACCCTTATTTACAATGCTTAATATGGAAGAAAGGTAAAAGTTAAGTGTTGACATAAATGAAAATATATATAGAAAAGGGATTGTGGAGGGTTAACTTTTGTTGAAGATGAAGAAAGGTGTGTTTATGCACTCCTTGGTTAATCCCACAGGTATAGAAGGATGTCTGGAGCTTTTTCGGACCTAGGAGATGCCATATATCAGCAGCCAGTGTGAGTAGGTGGCTCATTATCCTGCTGTGCTTGCCCTCGGTTACAGTAACACTGCTTGGAATGAATCACATGTTCCGCACATCAGTCGTGATCTTGCTACTCGTTTATCTTTCATGTAACTCGTGTTAGAATCATTGGCAGCCTACAAAAATGTAAAGTGTTTTGCTTCCTAGAAGGTAAGATTACAGTAGCTTTCCAGCCGTGTTCAGCTGTGTTTACTAACAAAAGTAGTGTGTACCTGCGTGGTCATAACTTTATTCCATTTGCTGTACATTGACTTTCTTCACACTAGTCAATTAATGCACAAGAAGCTGGACCTATAGAGTTTGAACTCACTTCCTGGGAATGTGCAGACATGCAAGAGACTTAATATGAACACGTGCATGCACAGGCATATACAGAGGCATACATTTATATGCATGCACGCTAATTTGTAAACATTTGTGTGCCCGTGCACACAAGCTTCAGTCTCCATGTAACTTCAAATAGGTAATGTCATATAAGCTCGTCTGTTATTGTCGCAAGTTGCTGTGAGCATGTTACACTGTAATAGCACATGTTGGTGTTTTGCACCTCCAGTGCCATGTGACACATACACCACACATGAGTGTTCACGCATGAAACAGGAAACTGGTTTGAGTGGGTGGCATTTTCCATCATTTTATGCAAATTTATTTGCTTAGTCAAAATATATTTTGACTGGGAATGTGATTAAGATAGTGAATTGTCAATATTGTAGAAATTCATAAGGGATATTACAGTAAAAGTGATCATTCAGGTTTCTTTGATTGGGCACGTAGTTTCCACTGAACTTCCACTGAAGCTCCACTGAACTAACTATTACCAGGTAAGTACCCAAGACGTGCCGTGCTTGCAAGTAAAGTCTGTCTGTCCCCCCCCTACCCCCCCCAAAAAAGCAGTGTGCTGACGTGGGCAGATAAAGCTAGTCAGACAAGCACCATAATGAGAGTCGGCACTTTGTAACATCAAGCCTTGATCTGCACCTCGGTGGGGTGTGACATTTTATTGCCATATATTTTTAAAATTGCTGGAAATAACCTCAACATATTTGGTCAATGTGTCATCCTGTTGGAAGGTCATGAATTATTGTTGCATGAAAGTATTTGTTTTATTATTTCCTTGATAAGGATTAATATAGCCTCCCTCAATGTGTATATGGATAGTGCCATTGAAGACTGTTCATTATACAGTACTGTATTTCAATTGGTTGGCAGTTGAAAAGATTGTAGTATTCTATATCTTTACTTTAGGCAAGTCTTTAATACCATGTTTCATGAGATTTAAACTTAAAGGTATTGGGGGGGGGGGGGTTTCTACGTTGTATAAGGGAACAGTAATCTAAAAGAAAGCAGTGCGAGCTATAGTGAAGTTTAAATTAATCGGTGGGAAAGTGTTGTAAAGAGCTTGTCCGTAGCTCTGTCCTAGGAGCTTTGTTGGTAATGTGCGTGTACTTCACTATCGGTACTTGTCTATTGGTAATTACCTAAGTGTAGTTACAGGATGAGAGCTACGCTCGTGGTGTCCCGTCTTCCCAGCACTGTTATATAATGCTTTGAAACTACCGACGGTTTTGGCCTCCACCCCCTTCTCACCTAACTTGTTCCAACCGTCTTCTCTATTCAACCGTGGTGAATAGAAAAGTGAGGTAAAGCTCTTTATGCATGAAAATTACTTCTGGAAAAAGACTGTTATTAATACAACTACAAGCTGGTATTAATAAGGTTTATGATTGGGTAGCAGAAAATGACACGTGTTTTAAGTGATAAATTCCAAGTACAGTACTTGGGTATGGTAAAAATGAGGACCTTAAACAAAATACAGGGTACAAAACACAATCAATTCTGCCCATAGTAGGAAAGCAGCATGTAAAGCATCTGGAAATAATAATGATTGACAGCTTAACGTTTAGGGAGCATAACTAAGCAAATGGTAGCATCAGTTAGAAAAATATGATGGATTAAGAGAACCTTTAAATCTAGGGATAGCATTGCAGTGCTCTTATTGGTAGTCATTGGTGCCGTCATGTCTTCAGTACTGTTAGATACTCGCTTCCCTCTTCAGAGCAGGATAGATTGCTGAAATAGATGGAATACAGAGAACATACACACTACACACACACACACGATAAAACACCTAAACTATTCGAATTGTCTCAACACTCGACACCTATTTAGACAGGAGATGAGACGTCTCATAATATACACATGGAAGGCACTAGAGGGCCGAGTCCCAAATTTGCACAGTAAAATATAATGGAGTGAATGATATGAAAAGAAATCAAAGCAAATGAAGAGTAGGGGTGCCATTAGCACAGTCAGAGAACACTATGAACATCAGAGGTCCATAGTTCGGTATCCTCCCAGCAAATGTAAGAAATATTGCTGGAACAAAAGTGGAAGTCTTCAAGAAAATACTGGATAGTTTTTGGTAAGAAGTGTCAGACCAACTGGGATGTAATAAGTGCTCCTAGCACACCTGCAGGGCCAAGCAAGTGTTGGACCAAGCTCTCGCAAGTCGAGCCTGGAGTAGAACTCGCATAATCTCTTGTAGGTACATCTCGGAGTGTGAAGAGGCAAATTTTAGATTGGCGAGGTGATTCTAGAACAAAGTTATTAGACAAAATGAGTGCGAGAGATGACTGAAGAGCAGTAGTCGATAGGGGAAATATGAGAAATTAGGGAAATGGAAAATTGGGGGACAGCAATTAAAAGGTTAGAGAGAAGAATAACTAGCTTAGAATCGGCCAGAAGGGTAGAAGTAACCTTGGCCATCAGGTAGGATTAACCACTGATGTACTTAGCAGGCTGTAGAGATATGGGGAGACTAGATTGAGGAAGCTGGAGGAAACCATATAGAGCATTTTCCCTAATGTTGACCAAACCACACACTAGAAAGTAAAGGGACGACGACATTTCGGTCCGTCCTGGACCATTCTCTCAATAGACTTGAGAATGGTCCAGGACGGACCGAAACGTCGCCATCCCTTCACTTTCTAGAGTGGTTTGGTAAACATACTTCAGCGACGTTCTTGACTCCTTGTCTGCATTTCGCTAATATGTAAGAATGAAGGGAACAATATGGCAATTAAAGACCAGGAGGAGAAAGCAGGGAACATAATAAATTGTGAAATGATGAGTGACATTTCATTGACAAAGCTTTCACATGACATAGAATTACAAGAGAAAAGGACAATTGTAATAGTTTTTAGTTTAGCTCATTTATTATGAACCCCATACCCATCCTGTGGGTAATGGCGGAAAGGGTTAGAGGCACATAATGGGCTCAGGGACTGAACCCCACAATTCATTTATCAAAGAAAGTTACAATCTTGATGAGCTAGTTACAAAACTCAAGACACAGTCGCATCAACAATGGGCTAAAAACCAATCACAAGTACAGTTTCTAAATTAAGCAATTGACATATGTGGAGAGCTCGTGTCATAATTGATATGTTTAGCTTGCATACAGGGTCTAATTGAGGAATGCATGCTTTTGAACCCTGAGAGAATGCAGTTTGAAAGACGGGAGCTTTTAAAGTATTTTAAAGTGTTTGAATGGTAATTGCACAATGAATAAGGTTGTGATATCTTGCCAAATTTGACCATGCAGTAAGGGTAATAGGAAGACTTGTTTTGATTGAGTTCACCGATTTTTAAATGCATCTAAATATATATTAGAAAACACATTTACTCACCACCTAAGGAGCCGGTCGGCCGAGCGGACAGCACACTGGACTTGTGATCCTGTGGTCCTGGGTTCGATCCCAGGCGCCGGCGAGAAACAATGGGCAGAGTTTCTTTCACCCTATGCCCCTGTTACCTAGCAGTAAAATAGGTACCTGGGTGTTAGTCAGCTGTCACGGGCTGCTTCCTGGGGGTGGAGGCCTGGTCGAGGACCGGGCCACGGGGACACTAAAAAGCCCCGAAATCATCTCGAGATAACCTCAAGATAACCATGTCTGGCAATTAAGTTTTAAATGAGATTCATGACAAGAAACCGCAGGAACATAAATTAGAGAATTTGTACAGTAACATCATACAGACCACCCAGGCAGTGACTTGATAGATATTATAAAGACCTTCTTGAGGTTATCTTGAGATGATTTTGGGGCTTTAGTGTCCCCGTGGCTTGGTCCTCGACCAGGCCTCCACCCCCAGGAAGCAGCCCGTGACAGCTGACTAACACCCAGGTACCTATTTTACTGCTAGGTAACAGGGGCATAGGGTGAAAAAAACTCTGCCCATTGTTTCTCGCCGCCGCCTGGGATCGAACCCGGGACCACAGGATCACAAGTCCCGCGTGCTGTCCGCTCGGCCGACCTGCTCCCAGGACCTAACTCGCTCCCCTCCCTCACTCTCTCTGAATCACACCCTATCAGTGCCCGCAACCTGCCAAGGACCTAACCCATACCCCCCCCCCTCCCTACTGAAACCAATCCACCCCCTGTGGTGTTGTGTGTTACTGAGGAAGTCTTGGTTGTAGGGTTGATATAAAGTCATGGCTTGGTTACTGACTTTAATACTTATAAACGATTACATGACTAGCAGCCTCCAAGCTTGGCGGGCATCCTGTACGCTCTCTTGTTTACTTCCCTCTGGCGTCTGAGCCGCCGCACATAGAAAACGGATGGTATCGTTTTCTGTGAACATGACACCCCCCCAACCACCCACACTGTCATACATCCCCATCACTGTACCCAACCCCTTCTTTGTTGGGGGGGGGGCATTCACCACCTGCACCCTCTTCCTGATCTCTGCCCTGACCTCCAACCAACCCCTCCCTCCCTCCCCTCCTGAGAATTCTCGGAATAGGGTGTCCAAAAAGAGCCTTAATGTATGGTGCATAAATGCCAATGGTGTTGCAAACAAAGCAGAGGAAATAAAAGAAAGGGTTAAAAGGATTGATTTAATTGCAATAGTGAAATCTAGAATAAATGATATGATCTTCAATGCAGCACTTCCAGGGGGATTCCAAGTAAC